CCAAAAAAGTTTTATTTCTGAATTTTAATTGACTGATACTTGGATATTTTGTTTTATTCATTAAAAATGTATACTAAAACAATTATTCGCCGCAGGCTTCAGTGATTACGGCGAATATTCACCTCGACTTCGTCTCGGTGAATACTCACCGGTAATCACTTTAGGCCGTGGGCTGTTGTGCGAAAAAGTGCTTAGAAAAGCAATTTCGTGGCAACCGCCTCGGGAATAGATTTTCTGTGGTTCAATTCATAGTACCACAGATGCTCAATTACCGCAAAAAGTTCCCAAGCAAAAAACTTGCCAAACACGGAGAAAATGAGTGATCAGTGATTACTGATTATCCTCTATCAAATTGAATTACAGCAAGAAAATGTAAAATTTTATATTCAATTACAGCAATAATGACGTGCATCATCAGAAAGCTTACAACAATCTAAATATAAGACAATTGAACAGTTTTTTATATCTCAAAGTGTTTTCGAGTTATGTGCTGTCAAAAACGCGTTTTTGACCTAGTACCCAGTCCTTATTGCGACATTTTGGTCCAATTTCCACATTTAAAACAGCAATAACTTAAAGACTGTTTGAAAGATCAAAAAAACTGTTTAAAAGTCTTATATGCGGTTTTTTGTAAGCTTCCTGATGATGCAATGACGATTTTGTTGTAATTGAATACAAAATTTCACATTTTCTTTCTGTAATACATTGATCACCCATTTTCTCGGTGTTTGGCAAGTTTTTTGCTTGGGAACTTTTTGTGGTAATCGAGCATCTATGGTACTATGCATTGAACCACAGGAAATCTATTCCACAGGGGGTTGCCACGATGTGAAATAATTTTGGCCAACGGCCCACGGCCTACTTCGCCGAATAATTGCCAATTATTCTTCTATACATAGTTATACATGGCCGCCTTTATACTGCACACTGGTATGTAGATTGGTAGATAAGACTAAAGCTGCATTGTTATTGCTATAGTTACATGATTGTAGACACAGGTCAATAGCTATCACTAATTGGTAATCATGCGAAATATACCTCTTGAGAGCAAGAGGCATTATTGTTTAGACAAAAGTTATAGCCTAATGAGTAATGAGTTTAGTTTCGTGACGAAGAACAGTCTTGCCTTTCAGCTTTCGACGCACTAACTAGCTACCTAAGTTCGCTTTTAACTTGGCCAGTTGGTAACACAACATAAGCCGATTTGTGTAATGACAACAGGATAAACGCTTATTTTAATTAACACATATACTATATACTGCACTGTATACTATATATACGACTGTTAAAACAACGTTAACATTGCTATACCTGGTTACACATGTTTCAACTATTAGCGCTAACTGCCAGTCAAACTGCAGACTTCAAGAATCAATATATTCAGAAAAATATAAACGCTCTTCTTTAGTTGTATACGTCCACTTAAAGTTGCATTATTTTTTCCATCGGCCCAGCGACTTGACCCTCCGTGGAGCGTTTTTTTTTAATATTCGCCCAAATCACTTCATGAAATGAACAATTTAAAAACATTTACACATGAGTAGGGTTAGGAATTTTCTAGAAATCATAAGACTTTTATTTAAGGTCTATATCTGCTAGTTACAATTTTAATAGTATACATAAAAATATTACTCAACTGTGATTGGTTGATTTCAGTGCACTTAATGCATCTAAACAGTAGTACAATTTTCTGTAACCACAGTAGATTTTCTGTAACCACAGTCCATTTTTTTGTAATCACAGTGCAATTTTTTGTAATCACAATGTCGGCAATTTTCGGTAATCAGAGTGCAAAAATCTGTAACAAACAGATCTGCTTGGTAGAAAAACAATGTAATGATAAAATCAACAAATCGGTCAATCTCGTTCCCAGAGTATGCCTGTTCGCGGGTTAGGTATAGTGGCAGGACTCTGGGGAAATCGAATCGAGATCGTTATTTGATTGGCTGCAGTGATCATCAAAGCTGCCGTTAGCTATTATATAAAGCTACTGTACTGGGAAAAAAGCTACGGCGATATCTTTCTGTTCGGCATTTTATTGTTGTTAATGTGTTAGAGTTTCTAAGTTCATAATCATTTGAACTAGCTCTAGACAATGGAACATATTTTGACAGTGGTCCTTCAATTTCTATGCATTTCATTGTATTGAGGCAATGTCGTTCTCGCCTTTCATCCAATCTGGAACACCCAAGTTGTGCTAATGCTTCCCTATAAGAGTAACCCGGTAACATGATCCTCAGCGCTCGTTTTTGCACTCGCTCTAAATCATCGGCGAGGTACAAAGGTAGGGCATGATGCCATACTACACAACAGTACTCCAGAACCGATCGTATTAACAAAGTATATACTCAATAAGTCTTCCGCAGGAACACCACCTCGTCGTAATATGCGGATGATATATAAACGTTTAGAAGCCTTGGATACAACTGATTCTATGTGTGCATTCCATTTAAGATCGTTTTGGATAACCAGACCTAGGACTTTATGAGACCGCACAACCTCAAGCGCATGACCGTCGATCAACAATGGTGATAGATCAGGTGATTCCCGCAGAAAGCAAACGCGTAGTTCTTTGCACTTTTTGGGGTTAAGGTTCATAAGGTTGCACGAAGCCCAAGAATTTATGGTATCAATACAGAACTGAAACCTTGAATTGATGCCTTTTGTGATATTTTCAGATGTTGATATGTCATCCACAAACTTCCAAATATCCGTTGCGTGTGGTTTCACATCGAGATCATTTGTCATCGCCAAAAACAGAATTGGACCGCGTTTAGTTCCCTGGGGGACACCCGCATTCATTGGCAACCAGTCTGACGTTTTCCCTCCAAGTTTGACCCGATGACGGCGGTTAGTTAGGAAGTTGATAATCCAAGGCAACAGGGACGATCTAACACCTAGGTCCAACAGCTTTAATATTAGTAAATTATTTCCTATACGGTCAAACGCCTTTTCGAAGTCAAGGAAACAAAGTCTAAGATGTTTTTCAGGACACTCTAAGTTGCACAACCAAGTGTGGATCATGTCTAAAAGACAATAGGTTGTGGATGTTCCTTTCAAGCATCCAAACTGCTTGGGGTCGATCTTGTCTTTAATATCGGTTATTATCCGCCCGACCACGAAATCTTCAAGAACCTTAGCCAGGCAGGGTGTCAGTGAGATGGGTCTGGTGTCACCTTCACAGGTAGGAGGTTGTGATTTTGGAACTGGTATGATGTCTGAGTCTTTCCATATTGCAGGCACGATTCCAGATGAAAGTGATTCGTTGAAAATAGTTGCAACAGGTTCAGCTAATTCATGGGCAAACTCTTTCAGGATACGACAGGGGACGTTATCTGGGCCGTGAGCTTTAAAAGGTTTAATTTCTAAGAGCTTTTTAGATACTTCATGTGGTTGAACTGTTGGAGCAGGTTCTTTGGCAGGAAAGAAATGCCGGGAGTGTCGCTAAATTAAGTGGTGGAATGTCACTATTCACCGATGCATAGAACACATTCAAAGCTCTAACTAATTCTGATTGATCCAGAGTTCTTCCATCATGTTCAAGCGAGAAGGAGTTCTTTCCAGATTTTCCTGCCATTTTATTTACGATTTTCCACCACATACGGCAGTCATCCTTCTTCAAATGTTGTACCTTTGTTTTGTAGTACGATATTTTCCTCGCATTGATTTCATGTTGCATGGACCTTATATTTCAACGATTTCCACAAGATTGTATTATGACCATGAAACGCCTTTTGTCGATATTTGATAAGCTGTTTTATTGCAGGTGTTATCCATGGTTTATCGGTGTGATGACGTGTTGACGTCTGTTGTGGGAAGATTCGGTCAATACTTTCTGTTAACTGGTTTGTAAACGAGATTGCCAAGCTATCAACAGTAGGGTTGGGTTCAAGGTCACAAAACCAATTATGTGTGGTAACCCATCTTCCGAAAGCATCTATTCCTGATCTGGGATAGCGCCGTACTAAGGATTTAACAGGTTTTGCTTGGATGTTGTGGCTGGGAATGCTATCGACTGAAGGTAGCCAGTGTACAATATTATGGTCACTAGATCCTAATGGAGCAAGGACATTAGGGCGGTCATATAAATTATACAGGTTTGTAAGAATAAGATCGAATATTGCTGATTCTCTAGTGGGTTGGTCAATAATCTCGTTCCCAGTGTATGCCTGTTCGCGGGCTAGGTAGTTTCATACCACGTCCTAATCCGCGAACAGGCATACTCTGGGTACGAGATTGATGTATAGAGAACTTTTTGTACCTAGTCACGTTTTTGACAACACGTACCGTCAACAGTAGATCAATTGAGCCTCTAATAGATGGCGAGTAATAAAAACAGCCGTTCATGTTTGTAATCCCGTAGACACGAACGTGAAACTTTATTGACTGCCGTTCTTGATTTCAATCAAGACCTGGCTGCTGACTCCATCACTCGCCATCTGTAATGTTTAAGGTTTAAGCTTTAGCTTAGAGTCTCAAATAACAACCTTTTCTGAATTAGGTGCATATAGCTTATTTATGAATAGCAAAAATTAGTATACTATAGGTGCACGTCTATATGTCAGCAGGTCTTGGTGATTGACTGCTTGTCTGTATATTCGTACAGGTCTGCGTTGTTGTGCGTGACATCTTTCTCACAAATTATGACAATACTTGTACCACAGAATTCGACACAGAAGGCCATCTCCATTGTTTTTTGCGTAAACGCTATTCGCCATATAGATTATAAATAACACTAGAGGGTTATTTATGCTATCTGTGCTATTCGCCATGATACCCTAAACAGAAGTAGTCACCCCCCTGGAAATATTCAAAATGGCGCCGTGTGGGGGAAAGCCATGCCATTTCCTGTTGGTGATTACTTCTGTTTTGGTCGGTACTTGCTGAGTGACAAATCATGAAGAATAGCGCTTACGAAAATCATGAAGAATAGCGCTTACGGGCTTGTACTTTGGCATTTATTGAAATGACACGTGTCAAATAATTCACTTTTCATTTAGAAAGGAGGTTTGACGGTTAATATCGGACACGGGTTGCGTAACTTGATCGTCAATGGAAAAAGTGTTGGTATCCAGGGAAAGGTTTGTGAAGATTTATTTACTTACCACACAATTTCATATAGGAAAGAAAAGCACTGAATCCATGTAATAAATTTACGTGGTTTTTCCACAAACAAAACTATTATATTTTATCGCCATGCAAACATACAAAGAACTTATTCAAACTAGTCATCATCATTTCTTTAAACATATAAATATGAAACGTATTAATGCAACATTTGTGGGACTAATGGACATTGCCCAATGACAAATTGATTGAATTTTAGTTAAATTGGGATGAAATTTGGTTAATTAAGAGCGAGGTTAGCAACTGTTGTTTTGATTTGCCAGGCAGAGTTAAAACTGCTTCCTGTAATTAGCATGTTGTGCAATTTATGCATGATACATAACTTAATAGTTAATTCACTGGCGGTATGTGCAAGCGCACCTTATTTTCTAGAGACTTTTGGGAGACCCTCAATTATCTATTGCCGACTAAGCTAATTCCGATAATGGACAGGTTGAGATATTTGTTCACAACCTATAAACTTTGATTCTAGAAAAAACGAATAAGTTGATCAGTCAATCTAGATAACTAATAAGTTGATCAGTCAATCGATTATGGACTGACGCAGAATTTTGTAATCTTTATTTCAGACTGTAGTTGCTTTCCAAGCAACGCTGACAACAGGTAGAATTGGACCTAACTACGCCAGCGGGGCCATTAAATTTAACGCCGTTACTCTGAACATTGGAAACGGTTATAACCCAAGCACTGGCAAATTTACTGCACCGATTGCAGGTTTATACCAGTTTACTGTCACATACCTTCAGCAAAATGGCTACAGCTCTTACGTTAGGTTGATAAAAGGAAGTAGTGTTATCGGTGATATGCATGCAAACCACAAAAACTTTGATCTGCTTACGAAAACCATTCTTGTGAATCTGACAAAGGGCCAAACATTCTGGGTTAGGTTGGAGAGAAGTAGTAGCTACGCTGTATATGGATCGGGACGATATACTCAATTTGGTGGATTCCTTCTTTCAGCCGGCAATTATTAATAAAACTTTACCATGCAAAATATGCCTCACTCAGTTCACAAAATACGTAATCCTTAATTAAATTCTAGAACAGTAGAACACCATAAGGGACAATCGTCTCTAACTAAATATACTAAATATAGGACGAGTGCAGGTGAGCTAGTAGTTGTATTGCTTCAGCCTTTATTTTCAAAATATTAAATAACGCTTTAAAATAAATTGACTATTATTAGTGTGTTAATGTTGTTACCCGACAAACTACATGCATCCACGTAAACCCGGAGCGAGGATATTAATTACTCCGGTTATTTACACCCAGGATAAAGGCAGGATAGCGAATCTATATATGCCCTACATTTGTGGCCATATTGTATGGGTGGTCCCAACACTGAATTCAAATTTTATGCATTTCTACTTTCAAAGAATTGTTGCCATATACACTATTTTCCACTTTATTTCAGTGTAGGTGCAAGTTTCTTAAATCATAATTTACAGTGTAAATTAAACGAGCGAATTGTATGATATGAACTGATTTCATTCAAAGACAAAGTTTGTCCGTGATTATCTCGCGGATTAATTGTTTTTGAAACGTTTTACGAAACGTCTAAAGTACAGTTTTACGTTCAATTGAGGATTATATACAGGTGTCCCTTTCTGGTCCTAGCGTTATTTAATATTTCCAGATTTTTGTACGTACAGTGGATCAAACAATATACTCAACCATTCGCCTTCTAGAATCACTTAAGTTGTCCAACTATCCAAGTAGGCAGACGTCTGCTGACGCGTTCGCACTGTTCCATGCAGGCACAGAGTAGAGACATACAGAGACGTAACTGACCATCATAAACACTGCAGAAGATTACGTTATCATGTACCCCCTTTTTTTCAGGCAACCGGGCGAAAAACGATCAACTGCGCATGTTCAGCAAGTTTAAGGTGAGTCGTCATCAGGTCGTCATCCAATCAGATGCATGCATCTAGTAACTTGCCGAGCATGCGCACAAAAAATGTGGGTACACTAGTTACGTCTCTGTATGTTTCTACTCTGTGATGCAGGTGGAAAATATCACTGAAACAGTAGTGTGCGATGTAATATAAAAGGGGTGTGGGGATGCATGAGGGTATAGGTTTCAATGATAACATTTTTTTATTGATATGACTGCATGTTTTTAGTCATGCATTGGAATATACCAAGATATAGATCCACGTGAACAACACTTACCTTTACATGTTCTAGTTTGACTCATGCACTCCCATACCACACCAAATTTAATATACTGAAAACATTAAACTGATATAGTGGCCAAGATGGAAGGAACAAAATCTAATCCCGAAACTTTAGACTGATATAGTCGCCTAGATGAAAGGCATAAAATCCAAGCTTCCTTGCCAAAATATGAGCCTGTTAAATTGGACATTTGCGTCTTTGATCGTGCGCACGAGCAGTTGCTATTTTTGTCAGTTTCTTGGTTTCATATTTCATTTGAGCATCATAACAAAACTGTTTGTGGCGGCCTAAGGGAAGCGACTTCGACCGGAGGAAGGATTCTACATAGTTGTGGAGGAGTGCCCTTAGAACGTGCTAACTATCCTGTCATTGATAATAAAGGAATACGGAATGGTTTTCCGTACAGGCTTATGTGCCTTTTCAATATCATAAAGTGTCCATTGAAGCCGGTGCCCCCCCCCCCCAATCTTTTGATGCTTTTTACGCCCCTGCGCGAGACTTTTGGACATGGACGTCGCGAAGTCATCAACATTTGGGGTGGTGTCGTAATGTTTTGACCAACATTTCCTAGGAATTTGACCATGTCGTATAAATTTTTCTAGAAAATGTTGTCGACGGGGGGGGGGGATTTTTTTCGTTAATTTTGTGGACGGGGGGTGTTAAAAAAATTCTCCGGAATAACATAAGCATAGTCAAAAAAACTTTTCCGGGCTAACATAAGCAAATTCAAAATTTTTCGACCAAAATAAGCAAGGCTTCCAATTTTTTCACCACAAACATAACAAAAGATTAAAAATTGTTCAACTGTGCAAACCATTTCAGAACTTTGTGCAACCTCGACCACCTTTTATCCCAAACCTTGACCACATTTTTCCGAGTTTACCTTTGATTTTAAAGGGTAAGTCAAGTCCGTAATGTAAACAAACGGTTTGTTTACATTTTGAATTGCTGTATTTTTTAAAATATGATGTACTGTCTGAATATCTAACACCATTTTGGTTCGCTATGCTTCTAAATGAATATGAAACAGAGTTTATGTTCAGAAAAATTCGAAACATTCGAAATTTGGGCAATGTTCACATTAGAGGTCCTCACATTGTTATGAGCAGAACCAATGCGCAGAACCGACTTGACTTCCACTTTAAGCAAATATCAGTTCCATTTTGACCAACTTAGGGCAAATATCAGTTCCATTTTGATCAACGTTTGAATTATTGCTGGGGTGTTACACGCCTCATCCCCCCCTATTACGACCTCCCTGCTTTCGGAAGGCGTAAAAATACTCAAGTCGAGCAACATCCCAAGTGCATGGATCACGTGATCCTGCTTGGAAAACCATTTGGTAATTATGACATTTTGAGAATCCGCGAAAATCCCGCGAAGACATATTAATTCCTCATGCAGGATAGCCTGAAACTACACGGCTATTGACCAATCAAATTGCGTGTTTCACTATAGATGACTCTTCCACAGTCCCTCATCCGTTATCCGTTCTATCGCATTCCCATTAAGCCCCGCGCTCCCATTGTTTTTCCACTGATCTCTATTCCCAACTGAAGCGACGAGGGACGAAGCAGTCACTGTAGTTATTATATAATGACTTATATAATGACAACATTATAGTGATATCTAGAACAAGTGTGTTATATCAGATTAAGTATACGACCGCCTTGTACGTATTAACCGATAAGCGCCTTTATCCTTATGCTTCTTTAAGGTGGCCTTAAACAAATCGTCCATTAACTATCGGCTGAAAAGAAATTTATAATCCAACAATCAGTTTATTTCAGAGTTACCGTATTAAAATACTTAGTGGTTCCCGTAATTTTTATTGGTTACGTATGACGTCATTGACGTCAACGAATGTTTTCAGGATTTCATGTTTGTCAATAGATGTCTGTCCCCCCCCCCCCCCGCCGCCCCGCTCCGTTAAATTTAGTTCTACAGCACTGGTGCAAGGCCTTGGAAAGTCTCAATTGCACTATTCGTCGACTATTCGACGACTATTCGCGGACTATTCGTCGACTATTCGCGGACTAGTCGTACTATTCGCTTCCCTATTCTAGTTTTATCAATTGCCCCGTGCGAACGTCTTAAGAAAGTTACATATAAAGTGAGAAAGAAGGAATATTAGGGAGATAATGCATGTTTTTGTCGCCCAATTGTATTAAGAAAACCCAGCATGACGTCACCAACTTCCACACAGAAAGTTATGCATGCAGAGAGCTAGTATAACATGCATGTTCCAACGAATTTACGGACGGATTTCCTTACTGGACCTTTGGGGGGAAGAGTTTAGAACTGATAGTATATAAGCAAACTAAGGTTTCCTAGCTCCTGCATGTACTTTCATAATAAAAGAACTAAGTTTACTTATTTGAAATAACTACTTTGTTTTTAATTTTCTTTGTTCAGAAAAATTCCTATGCAGACAGGATGTCCGTACTCCCCCACAAGCTTGCAACTATACTGTAGTTAGTCGGCATAGATGCACTATATTGAAATTCTTCCGAGAGAGATATTGTGTTCTATTTGGGTCTGCAATTAAGCCAGGCCAAAACACACGAGTCACACATGAATATAATTAATACATTGCATGAAGGTTTATTGTACGATCACCCAGATTAAAATTTTTCAGTAATTGTTTCTGACGTTTCGGCTACCTATACCAGATGTGTGTAACTGATAGGACTTCGTGTCCTCAAATTTCCCTAGATGTACACGTCATGCTCACGCCATAAAACTTGTGCGGCCTTTTTCATCGAAATTTATCGATTAAACAATCAAGAGCATCATCAACCTCGTACCCAGGCTCTTTCCACTACGCACCTCGCTGGAGGAAAGAACCTGGTCCCAGGGTACATGTCTCCCAGATTTTGGGAGATGACAAAATTTTTACATAACGGTGGGGGTCTAAGTTTGTTTTACCGATCTAGTTGCCAATATCAATTCGATAAAGTTCAGAATGTGTGTATTTTAACCAGTGCATGTAATTTTAATGAATAGCAAGAGCTTGTGTTGCAAAATCAATGGGTGAGATGTCTTTGTAGCCTATATGTATTCTTTGTGGATTGCATTTGCGACGTCGCTACGCTGCTTACGCAAGATCTACATACTACATGGAGTCTAATTTCCAGCATGAGCTCCACCTTTGAATTTACTATACGAGTAAATTCTTAAACACGTCCGAATTTATCATTATAATAAATTCGCGGCAAATTTTGAATTTATTGCTGTCGTAGGCAGCACACTATTCTTGACAACTGATTTTGACGTCATGACTCGTGCCAGTTTCCTTGACCGAGTTATAACGATGCAGCTTGAATCAAAATATGGAAGAAATTTGGATTTCTGTCAGTCGGTAATTGCTCGTAAGTCGCCGTAAAGCTCTCGCTC